GAGGCGCTTAGGGACATGGTTTAGTGGGCATGGTGGTGTTGGGTTGACGGTTGGACTCGATGATCTTAGAGGTCTTTTCCAACCTCAATGATTCTATGAGTCTAATGATCTCCTCTCTATCAACTACAACTGAGTGGAAGCTGGCTTTTAGCGCTGCTAGTAATGCTAACAATAATAATAATGCTAATAAAAATAAAAAGCTATGTGAGAATTACTCATGAATCAGTTGCCAAATTTGGCAACATTTTTGTACGCGAATGACATGCACAAGGGATTAATACTTGGGTTTTACCCCCCCCCGCTTCTCTTCTTGTAACTAAGAATTAAGAGAAAAACAGTTCTTGACCAGCCAAGATTCAAGTCCAAAGAATAGTTGGATAATCAAACGCTAGGAGGGAGCAGGGCTGTAGTCTTTTGGGTATGCCACAGAGATTTTAAGTCTTAACACAAGGATGTTGCTGCATTACAGCAATACATTTTGAGTTACATTTTGGTCCTTCCAAAGGCTGGGGTCAGGATGGTCTCTGATACGAGTCAGAGGCAGATATCAAAAAATTGTCATTACAGTATGACTTTATGTTTGAAAAAAGTGCATAGCGAAAGCAGATAATGGTCAAGGAAGGTTTCCCTTGGTTAGAAATAAGTGGTGAAATGGGGTAGAATCTGTTCTCTTATCTGCGTTATGTCTGTGTAAACTGGCCTTGGTTCCTGCTTGGGATTATGGATTATTTGCGTTTCTAGATACTGCGATACTGTCTTCCTTGGAACCAAGTATACTGTTAAAAGATCAAAGAGATCTTTTCTTCAAAATGTTTTCTACCTATTTCGGCAGGTAGGCAGGTGGTTGTATTTGTTTGTCAGTAGTATTCTGGAGCTAGTGTTAAGGATGGAAAGGGATTTTCTCCCAGAAAATTCTGGGCGCTGTGGCTCTGACACAAAAGCAAGGAGCTACTCCTAGTTCTTACTTTCTGAATTCTGGCAACAGCTAGCTGTGGGGATAAAGATTATGTGTGTCTCTGGTTTATTGCCAGTCACAGTTCAAAATGGTAATATTTTCCTATATTTATGAGGGAAAAAACCCTCTCCCATACAAAAGTATATACAGACTGCAGTATTTACCAAAACAGTCTGTCAGGGAATAGGGTTTTGCAGATGGCTCTGGAAAAAATTTGATTCTCCGTATTGTGTAATACTAAAGTTGAGTGACTGCAAATCTACAGCCCTTTGTAACACATAACTGTTGTGATGTAAGCGTGCAGTGACTTCTTATACTGCCAAAACTCCAGTGACTCTTGTACCAGTTATTGCTCAGAGCTGGATCTTGAATTGTGTCCACGAGGCAGGGCTAACTGTGCTTTCCTACATCCTCATAACTGATACTGCCTCACTGGAAGGTGGCTGTCAGCCCTTTCCAGGCTTGTGAAACATGTGCAAGGGTCAGGATTGGGCTGGGGGGCGGGGGGGTTGTGGATGGATGGTGGTTAAATAAAATTGCTACCGAACTAGAGTCACTGGTAATAACAAGCAGTGTTTGTACTTTAAGACTCGAGCAAGCATATGTAATGGCTTCCATTGCAATGTTACCAGTTCTAACTGATGGGTGTGAGTTTAAGTTGTTTGTTCCTGATGTCGTTTCTGCTTTAGCAAGGGTGGAAATTGGTTAGCATATAGAAGGTGCTGTCCAGGGCATGAATGTTGGATCACTGTGTCTAATAAAATGGTTGCAAGTCTACATATTTCTGTCTGCAGGCATGACTGATAAGCTCTAATTTTGGCTTGGTGCCTGCCTTGGTTCTAGTGTGGAACTCTAAGGAACAGGAAAGGTCACCAGTTATGGTGAACCAGATACAGGTTATTACTTTTTTTTAAAGTCTTCTGTGGTATATTTGTAAAATTCACTGTTTAATATAGATTAGTGGGGGGGAAAAAAACCCATTTAATCTACAAATGCTTATTTTTTTAAAGAAACCACTGTCTTAATGTAATAATTTAAGTTACTGGCTAACACAGAGGTCATCTTGTTAGAGGCTTTTTATTACACACGTATACTTAAATCATCTTTCTCCCCATTGCACCTGAACAATTTAATCATGAATGTTTTTGTCAGTCTGGTAGCAGGAAAAGGTAATAATATCTTGTTAATATTTTTCATGTGGGTCAGGCACAGAACTGGAACGTAATCTAGATCTTCTAAAACCCAGTTCAGTACATTAATAAATATACAGATCGTCTCCAGTCAAACCAAAAATATCCACGTGAGCTTTCAGTTGTTGTTTTAATCCAGTTCCTCCTTGTCTGGCATCATCGATGTCCAGTGTTAGAGCTGCTTTCTTCTTTCTCTTTCCAGAAATCTCCTTCCTGCCCGACTTCGGGATCTTCACCATGGGCATGTGGTCCGTTGGTCTTGGAGCCATTGGTGCAGCTGTGACAGGGATCGTCCTTGCTAACACTGACATATTTTTGTCCAAGCCAGAAAAGGCTACGCTGGAGTTTTTAGAGGAGATAGAGCTAAAAACTTTGGGATCAGGTAAGATTCTGGATGTTTCAGCCCACATTCTTTGATAATTGGGCTTTTATAAGAACCTTTGTAAGGCCAGGTTTGGAAGAGTTTTTCTTAGTGTTTCCTAGTTATAATACGAAGTTGGGTGCCCTTGATAGCAGATAATTCTGCTGAAGGAAAAACAACGGAAACTCATTATTTCTGGATGAAACATGACACACTTCTAAAAATCAATGAAGCAATAATACCCTGTTATGCATACAGAATTTTTTTCTGATAGAACTGTATTTGAATGTGGAATTCTCTGCAATGCTTTGTGTTGGTCCTTAAAGCATTCATCATTATAAAGAACAGCTGATATTATTGTTGATGCTGTTTCTCCTGTATAAACAGAACAAAGAACATTCAAAGCAGGTGAACTATGGAAGAAGAATGGTGCAGTGATCATGGCTGTGCGAAGACCTGGATGATTTTTGTGCAGAGAGGTACTTGCTGGGCTTGGGGATTAATTAGGAAGAGTTGAGCTCTACTTGCATAGATTCCCTTTAAATAAAGGGAGGGGGTGAACAGGGCAGTCATCAAATGCATCCGAAGTATCTGAAAGGTCTTGTTTCCTAGCCCAAACTGGTTGCCAGCTAACAGCATACTTAGTTTTCTTTGCAGCTGGTTTGTATAGTCTAGGTCCTGAGCATTTTCCTTCTGAAGGCAATGGATACACGATTTTTACATCTGCCAGGGACCTAGCCCATGGTTATTAGGATGGGAGATTACACAAAATCCAATTGGTAATGAGTCTTATGAGCTAGTTGCATTCCCTGTGTCCAGAATAAATCTCTGTGAGCCAGGTAGTCTCTGGTCAAAAGCAGCCCAAGACTGGACTGGCAGAAAGCCATCAGATAAATCTCATCAGCAAAAAAGAGATGTGCACAAAGGGGAGTCCCTCGCTGTTCTGGATGCTGAATGTGAGGCAGCGAGGTAAGGAGTCTCAAGACAAGGAGTTACTGTTCCATAACAAGGTGAGATGGGAAACAAAATTTGACCCTTAAGTTGGCATTAGGCTCCTTGGGTGGCGGTGAGAGGAGACACTTAAAATACCATTTGAGTGTACCGTGTGCCTGGGAACAGCCATAACTTGCACGTTGGTCATTATTTTTCTCATAGCTATGGGGAAAAATAGCTATTATGTTGTTACTCACTACTCTATAACATGGAGTAATTAATATTGCAACCACTTAATTAAGGGATCTGCTCCCATCAGTAGTAACTGCTTAAGTATGTGTAGAATTCATGGAAGGTTAAAGATTAAAGTACTTTGCTCTCTGAACAGGTGTAGCGTAGGCAGGAGGAGAACGTGCTACGTGCCTGACTCTGTGCCTTTCGCATACAGTCAGACAGGAATTCATTAATGATTTTTTTTTTTTTAATGGTAACTTTCTACGTAGAAATAAAGAGCCCAATTCAAAGAATTGTGGTTTTTTTTCTTTCAGGAAAAAAATGAGAGAAAAATTTAATTTTCTAATTCTTATTTTTGGCTCAAAACTTCAAATTTTTAACAGAGGCAGTCACACTGCAACAATTAGATCAGCTAATTAGGGTAAAGAATTGTTTTGTATTTTAACTGTGAAAGTGTTTGAAAAAGTTTTAAGATTGTCTAAACTGAAATTATTTTTGGTTGTTGTATACTGAAACCATTTTTGTGAGTTGACTCTTGCCTTTCTCCTAAAAACAGTTCAGCTGCCCTTTTTTTTTGTCCCTTAATGTTTTTCCATAGTATGAAAGCTGCTTCTTTCCCCACTGTCACTGACTCTGAGCTGGTGGAATGGTTTAGTACAGGTGACTTGCCATATATGTTAACCTGCAGGCAGTAGGTTTTTATTGTTTTGCAAGAGACAAAATACACTTGCTTACATCGTAAGGCTCTACACCTGTTATGTGCTATAATTTGCCCACAAAAATAGACTTCTTTGCTTTCTCTTATTGTATCATTTTTAAATAGCAGTAAAGAAAAACAAGTCGGGTCTAGTCCCAAGATGCTGCTTGAAGTCTTCTCTCTTGAGAATTTCAAAACTTAACTATGCTCTTACATTATTGCTGCTCTTTCCCCTCCCAAAAGCCAAGCCAGGAAACACAAAATAAACCCCACCAAACTGCTGAAGTGCCTTTCTCCAAAATGCTAATGAAGGTTTGATGTATCACTGACATGATATCCAGAGACAGCGATTTCTGGTCTTACAGGGCACCCCGCTGCACTAGCCTGAAACATCAGTTCTCGGACATGTTAGGTCGCAATACATTTTTTTTTTTGTTTGTTTTGTTGATAATGAGAGTTTTGAACTACACAAAAAAATCCCAGATAAAATTGCTATTAACCCCTCTTTTAGGAAGATCATAAGGCCTTTTGTCGAGGGAAAACAGAAAATGATTACCAGATCTTTAAGAACAGAAAAGTGGGGAAAGATCTAACAAGTGTAAGCTATGATCCTTTAACTCTCGCACTCACTACTCGGTGTTTGCTTGCGATGCTGATTCATCCTTTTTCATTTCCTCTGAAAAAGACAGAGGGTAGTGAACTGGAAAGCTGCCCTTAACCTTTCACCTAGTCTTTCTCTAATGTCTTTTCTCCTGGCTGTTCACCCCTATCTGTCTGCTACTTGATACTCAGTAAATTCTAGATACCCCGCAAGCCTTTGAGTTAAAGCATTTCAGTTAGGTGGCTGAGGGTGTTCACGTAAACTGTGTCCATTTTTTAAAGTGTGGAGTTCTTTGTGGGAGTTTGTCCGGTAAAAATGACCTTTCTCCATTGGAGATGAGAAGAAACATATCTGCAGTGTGCACTCTGATCTGTTGGAAACCTCGGAGGCCTTTGTACAAACTGTGGGAGCTGAGACTCCTTCAGCAGAACAAAAAACCCAGTGGATGAGTGGCAATACCTTACACTCTTACACACCAGAAAAAGCAGTGTTGCTTCTGGGATACTGAAGATGTGTGAAGAAATTCCCTGATTATTTTCACAGGGAAAGTTAAGTGATGTGCAGGCACTATCTTTACACTGTTCTGTAAACACTTCAAAAGATAGTTGAAGCCCTAGCACAGGCAAGGTGTATCTACAGTTTTGAGTTAAAAATATGTTTTCTTCAGGATTTTACTATTTTACCCAGTAAATGCTCAAAAAATCTCCTTCGTCCGTGCTTAATGAAGAGAATTTTAGTAAATCTAATGACGACCTGCCTAGGAGTAGAGCTAGCTTAAATGTCTGATTTACAGGTCTGTTTCTGTTTTGCACCTCAAGCAAGAATTTATTTATGTTTCTGATGCTCTTGAAATTCAAGGTGAAGCTTTCCAAGCTCCATCGACTGCCTGAAATGTTTGGGTTTTTTCCTTTCTTAGGAGGCTTCTGAGCTTTCCTCTCTGAAACCTCAGCTGTCCAAGCTGGGTGTCCCTCTCTATGCTGTTGTGAAAGAGAAGATTGGGACTGAAGTGGAGGATTTTCAGCATTATTTCAAAGGAGAAATCTTTCTGGATGAAAAGGTATAGTGAAGTTGGTGTTCTCCTTTTGTTTAAAAACGAGCTTATGAACGTCCTCTTTGAAGAGCTTGTATAAATAATATAGTTAGAATGTGGTCTGAATGAAAAAGGATTTAGTAGCACTGTAGTTTAAGAAGTTAATTAGCTTTGCTTTTCTCTCTATATATATAATCTCCTGCTCGGCTTACAGACTGCTCTGTAGCTGTGCACTGGTAACATGCTGTCGCAGGATTATTCCTCCCCTCCTCTTTAACTGGTAAACAATATGGCCTATTAATATTTATTCCTTTCTTCCACTGGCTGTGTGACTTGCTGGTGTTTATGATGTGCGAGTCAAGGTCTGAAGGTGACAGACATAACTAATTCATGAAGTACGGGCCAAATTGCAGTGATGTGGCTTGACCCAGTACACTGGCACACGCTGTATTGCCAGTCTCATGTCCTACAAAACCACAGCCCCGCTTACTCCTTAACCTAAAAGACGCATTTAGAAATCATTTGGCTTCTGAAGGAAAAAGAATACGTAATACTCAAAATCGACTAGAAGATACTTTTATTTTCCCTCCCCGCTCTGCCTGTGTGAAAGAATCAGGCTGATTTAAAAAAAAAAAACAAACCACCAACCAAAAAACCACCAACAAAAAAACAGATGGCTGATAAAGTTTCAGGACTTGGCACCACTGCTGTCTCTTTACCAGTATTTTTATTGCCATGCTTCAAAAATAAGAAAAAAGACATTTATCACAAAGCACCCCTGTTGTCAGCAATAGGGATGTAGATGTACATGGGGCTTAAATGCTCGTGAGGATCACCTTAAAATCCACATGAATGGTGGCAGTACCGCTAGTTGGCTGTGTGGAGGTAAGTAGTCAGGTGGTACGTTAAAGAGGTTAGTTCAGGTGCAATTTCTTTCTAGCTCTGCCTGGTTAGTTTTTGTGTGTTGCGACCTTTCTTGGATACAGGGTTGGCTGGTTTCCTGAATTTCATTTGGGAGGAAAAGTCCTTTTCACTTTGTTTGCTGAGGTATTTTCTGTTTCCCTGCAGAAGGGCTTCTATGGTCCACGCAGAAGAAAAATGATGATGTCAGGCTTCTTCCGCTTTGGAGTCTGGCAAAATTTCTATCGTGCTTGGAAAAGTGGATATAGTGGTAACCTGGAAGGAGAAGGATTCACCCTGGGAGGAGTATATGTGATTGGGGCAGGAAGACAGGTACTGCAGGCCATCTAGGAGGCTTTTATGTCTCCTGTGAGACCAAAAGTTTCGTTTCTGGAATTGTTCAGTTGCTGGTCAGTTGATCTTCCGCAGGGAGACTAGTGTATGAATTTCTCTCTTGTGTCTTTGACTAGGGTGTTTTACTGGAGCATCGTGAGAAAGAATTTGGAGACAAAGTCAGCCTTCCATCTGTCCTTGAAGCTGCTGAGAAGATAAAACCACAAGCTTTGTAAGCGGAAAAATAGTTGCACATGTTTCTGATCACAGCTTGAAATGTATAATGCATCTGTTTCTTGAACGTGCAGTTTAATTGCTTCTTAACTATTTAGTGATCACCGCAGAGGAAAGATTCTCTATTCAAACATAGAAAATGATGGAAATCCTCCTGGATCTTTTTTTGTTGCTTTGCAGCCTTTCAGGTGGTCAGGATTTCAACTGCTCTTTTGTGTCTGACTGTATTAATGAAAGGCTGGGTCTAAAACCTGACCTAGCCTAGATGTTTTCAGTCAGAGACAGTCAGTTGAAAACCTGTCTACCTAGGGCAGCAAAACTCTGCTAAGGCTGGAGAAATGGAGTACCAGCTGAGGTTGAAGGATAATAAAAGTTTATGTGAGTGAAATGCCTTTGCTTTTTGCTTTTTCATTAACATGTAAACACATCTGTGTTTCTAGAAGACCAAACCCTGTCAGTCTAGATTATTCTGAGATCCTACAGTCAAGACATGCCACTATGTCTACCCAGTAAGTTTCTTGTTAGTTAACTACTGGCTCTAGATCTTCCAGCTCTTTGTGTGAGTCCTTGCAAGGAAGATTGAAGAGATCTAATGTTCACTTCAGAAGATAATTGTGGCATGAGGGCAAGTTCCTTCTTGTGTTTAAGATTCTAAAAAAAAAAAAAAGGGAACAATAATCAGAGAGCAGATTAGGTAGTTTCCATCCTGGCTTGAGTTCTGCAGTAGAATGGCTGGGCTGTTACTCCTAAAAATAGATGTAGTGTTGCACAATATGATCCATGAGAGCCCGTACCAATACATACATAGCCAAATACACGTACCTAGACTGAAGTATGAGCAGGACAGCATGAATTTTCCAAATGTGCTGATGTTTCAAAGTATAAACAAAATTTTAACACTGCACTTAAGAGAGGATTATCAAGTGTTGCGTATCCTTCATTAGCTGGTGTATATAAAAGGATAGGTAACTTTGGGAAAATGTGCGGGCTAGAACATACTAAGCTAGCAGAAGAATTAAAGGGAAGGATTCTTTTGTCCTGGCAGCAGGTCAGTCTGAACTGTCATTCTGCTTTCTTCTGACCTTAAAATTAATGAAACCTTCATGTACCGTTGGTACTGAGGGCAGGGATACTTGGCACCTCCGAAACTTTCGTAATATACCTATTTCTGCTCTGTGTGCCAGTGCCTATCCATCTGTATTGTTGAGCTCTGTGCAAAAAATGGTCATATGTGATGCTGACTGTATGAAACCTAAATGCCAAAACCTCTAAAACTTCACAAACACTGAGGCCTGGCCTTGGTCAGCGTTAAATCAGTTATGCAGGCTTTAAAATTGCGTCATTATGGATGAAATCCAGACTTTTTTTTTTTATATTTATGTCCAGGCAGAACTAATTTTAACTAAAGATATTTATGTGCTCTTCAGAGTCTGTTCTTCACAGTTCCCTGAAACAACACTAGCAGTGAGGATTTTGAGTGATTCGTATGTTCACCAAGATGTTTCGTTTGAAAACTAAATGGAAATTGGACTCATGTATGCTACTATCAGCTGAAATTTGTGTTTGACTGTTTTGGGGGATGGAGAGGAACAGGAGTTTGGAGAGTAGAGCAGCAAAGTCTACAGCAAATTGACTACATGATACGGACTTTCTCTATACAGGCTCTCCTAGGATTCATGGGCAGGTGCAGAGAACCATGTGTTGTCTCTGTCCATGTTCTGAGCTGCCTGGGTAAGTATGCCCATAAGATGGTGTCAAAAAGCTGTTGGGTGCTCCAAGACATAAAATGTCTGGCTGGAGGTAGCCTCCTCTGAATGGCATCCAGAGCAGCCAGACAGCTGCCAAGAGTTTGCTCAGTGAAATAAAGAATTGTGCCTGAGGGCTTTTTGTCCTTGGTTTTAGCACTGAAAAGAAGTACCCCTATCACGAGTGCTTGCCTGACACAAGGCACCTAAAACTCTTCCTCTACAAACCTGCAAAGTTCAGAGCATTGTGTAAGTGGCCACTTGTCTGCAGTAGGCGTATTGTTACTTTGGAGTGCAAGTGTTAGGAAACACAAAAGAGATGCTAAAAGAAACGGTGGGAGCTACCGTGTTCTTACAGTTGCAAGATGCTACTAATAACAAAGATCTTGCTTACAATAGGAGGAGAATTCTGGATCAGGGCTCCTATTGAGTTTTCTTTCCAGGGGGAGCTGGAAAGCTTTGCCATTTGCAGAAGACAGATCTCGCACAAAGACACAGGCAAAGAAGGTACTGATCTTAGACCTGGATTTTAGGCCTTGTTCCAAGGGCTGTTTATGCCTTTCACATAAACATGAAATGTGAAAGGCATAAACAGTCCTTGGAGAATGGGATGGAAGCCAGATATATTCCAAGAAATTTAAGATAAAGTGAAGTGCCTTTAGAACCTGCTAAATCTGGAGAGCATCAACTTACAATTTTGTGTACATGCAATTGATTTCCACCCAGTCCGACAGAGCTGGCCCCCGGTTCTTTTAGTCAGAGTGCAGAAAGTCCTAGATGATGACAAAGATGCCGCGGGGCTGCAGCCCTGCTGTTAGCCCACCCAAAGGGACCGTGCTTTGTATGAAACAGAAGCAGGAAGCCATCATGTCCAGCATTTAGAATGTTTAGCTGAAGTATAATGGCTGTCAAAACATACAAATCACTCATGCTGCAACGATGAAGTGTTCCTTTAGCGTAGAAACATTTTTAGAAAGACCCATGAAGTCCTTTTGAGGGTGTTTATTAAAATACTGTCGTGGTTTAATCTCAGTCTGCAACTAAGCACCACGCAGCTGCTCGCTCACTCCCCCCACCTGGTGGGATGGGGGAGAGAATTGGAAGAGTACAAGTGAGAAAAACTCATGGGTTGAGATAAAAACAGTTTAATAATTGAAATAAAAT